TTCAATATTGGAGTTGGTGTGAAACAAAAATTAATAATTTATTGTTATGTATGCAAATGAGAACTACAATTCTGAGCTTATTGAGCATCTCTTAGTCAAAAACAAAGGCAATTTTGCTTGATCAAGTTTCGAATCTAAGAAGAAAATGTTTTTAACAAACAAAAGGTTAATAATAAAATTTGAAGGATTTAAGATATTGCGTATGGTAGCATGAAACGTCACAATCTTCTTAATTGTCAGGCTGTTGATATGGCTACGAAAAAGTGACAATGGAAACACATAGCTGAAGATTTCATACTTACAGTGGGATAAACTTCAAACCTCTAATATAAATTAGTTAAATTTAGTTATTATTTTTTTTATCAATTTTAAGTTTTCGTTTGGAATAATTTTCATGAACTTATCTATTAGGAGATCTCTTTGGAAAATTACCGTACATCCGATATCTATTGAAATTTTGACATCCTCACTTTTTGGAAAAAGAAGTTCAAGATACAAGTTTATGTGCAAAAAATAAATTAAACAATAAAAGTCTCCTTATATTTATGGAACTTATAATAGAAAAATTTTTATTTCATTACCCAGACTTTATGAATAGCCTACTCTATAAGTAATAGTAGAAATTCCGAATTAGTAAGTTCAGTCAAGACGTCATTCAAAAGTTTTGAAGAAAATCACTTTTCTCTTTTGTGAAAATTTGGGACTATCTTATGCGAGTATTGTCGACAAAATGTTAGTCTATGAATGACTAAAAATTAACGAATAAATGGTTAATCGCGATTAATGATTAAAATTAATTAAGCGATCGCTGTGGTGTAGTGGTTAGAAGTGCGCACTACCATTCCGCAGGGTGAGCGTCCGAGCCCAGTTCCGGCCAACAAAAAAAAGAAAATGTTTTTTGTAATAGTGGTCGGCCCCCGGCAGGAGTCGGCGTAAAACTGTAGGTCCCTCCCCTTTGTGCGACAACATCAAGGCGCATGCCACAATCGGAGGAGTAGCTCGGCCAAACACTAACATATGTCGATGGTCCTCTGCAATAACGGCACAATTCAAAATTTCAGGTTTAGAAAAATACATAATTTGAAAGCTTACAGTATGACTGCATATAATCCGGAATAATTACGTTCCAAGACATATTATTGCTAAATTACGAAACAAAAAATCTTTAATTGGCTCTACTGAAATATATGAAATTTTTAGTTGTGTCGATATGTAAGCGCCTTTCTATTATTATTAGTAATCATCAATACAATTTCAAATTACATAAACCCAGTCACAGCCCTTTTTTGTATTCGACGCTTCCAGAAATCACATAATACATAAAATAAATAAAAGCTGTTTTGATTAATATTACATAAACTGGAAACTGTTAAAAATAAGTGCGCTTGTGTACAGAGATTTTAGAACCTATTTAGTTCCTAAAATGTCTGTTTGCAACACATAACAATAAAAATGCACATCAAATTGCCAAGAATGATGAAGGAAATCGATTCAGACATGCCTGTTTAACTGGCCGTGCGTGCTCAAAACAAACACATGTTAATTAAGGAGCTATTCAAGTATTATGTAACCACCAGTGGAAAGCGGGGGTCTTGGTTTGCTTATTTTTAATAACAACGGGCAACATTTCTTCAAATAAGTAAAACATTAATTACACACGCACAAATTTTGCCTGCAATTTCGATCACAATTGAACACTGCACTTCACTCTCGTTTCGAATTTTTGAAAGCGTTTTTTAAGCTATTTAGTGGTTTAACACTTCTTGTGGGCACTTGATATTGTAAAAAAAATATGCGCAATTCGATCCCTAACTACATTTTTTTGTAAAGAACGCCCGTTTGCTTTAAATTTGTAAAAATACAATTATTTTTTTATTTTGTTTACATCTGTCATTTGTTACAAATGAAGAAAAGTCCAAGAGTTGCCAAGTATAAATATCTTTATATCTATTTATTAAAATAATAATTTACAATAATAATTTATTTAATTAATACTTTATTAAAATACAAATTTGAAGTGCAAATACATTTGTAAAACTGTTTATCACAAAATGTTATTAATTGTTTGCAAGCATACTATAGTTTTCATGCATTTTGAGAATAAATAATCTAATATGTGTACATATATATCGTCGTTTAAAGTACAAAACCGCGTATCGTCATTCTTCAAAACCGTGTGACTGACATTGGCTGCCAAAAATTGGATTTGCTCACAAAAACTCTTGGCTCAATTCTTATCCATTCGTCCTGAAATATACTAGCCAGAATACGTTTGCTTTATAAAAAAGATAACCATTTTGAAATATGGGTGACTTTACTCTCTAGAAAATAATTTATGCAATTACGCGGTTTTGCATTTTCTTGATACGCGGTTTTGTACTTTAAACGACGATATGTATAGCATGTACTTACGGCGGCCGCCGTAGCAGAGTGATTACATGTGCGTACTTCCACTCCATAGGACCATGGTTAAATACCTGGTCAGATCATAACCCAAAATAGCAGTCGTCCTTCGGCACGCAATGGCAAACCTTCGAGTATATTTCTGCCTTGAAAACTCTTCTTATAAAATCAGAACTCATGCCTCAAGTTTGAGCAGAAGTTCGGCCAAACACTTAGAAAAATATTTTAGCACCAAATATTTATTTGTTTACTTATTTTAAGGGAGATGGCAATCTTCTGGTTTCACATTTTGAGTACAAAAATTTCAACCCTGATACAACAAATAGTATTAGTACTGAATGATAATGACAGATTGCATTCCCATAAACGTCCAATCATACATGATTGAGTTTTTTTTTTGCATTCACATTCTCTATGTGAATGGGTGTCAACCATTCCATAACACACTACATATTTTGTGTTTACAATTTGTAACCAATCTCAAGAGTGGTTGTTAAATTTTTTAAATCAAACAATCACAATTTTGAAACGAAAAAAATGAGAATGCACACTCAATTGATTCAATCATTACACAGCTCTGGTGTGTACCAACATTTTTTCGTTGGTGGAGATTTTTTTGTGGAATTATATTCTTCTCGTTCAAAACCAAGGTGGTAGCACTGAAGCAGTTGTTCTGATTTTATTCAAGTCATTTAGTTTTTTACATACAAATTTTAAATTGCCAAAATATATTTTACCATGCAAAGGATGTATTGATGATTCTGGAACGAAACAAATTCACAAAGAAAGAAAGTGGCAACAATTTTTAAATTTTTTTGTTATTATTATTTTTATTTACATTTTTTATTTATTTTGGTTTATATCTCACACTATGATTTTATTTATCTACTAAATGACGTTTTCTTATGTAGGTTTTAAAATTTTTCCTTCGCTTTAAACACATTTTTTCAGAACAAAATATGTGTGTGTTTAAAGGGCACATAAATTTGAACACCTGCTTGAGAAAACGTCCCAAGTTTTTAAACAGTTAAAAATGATAATTTTTTTGGGTATACAAATTTTTAACCGACTGCTAGAAAGGAGAAGGTCATCAATTTATCGGAATATTTTTTTTTGTGTTTATATGTAGGTATATATGTCAATAATTAAATAAAGCAAACCAAATTTCACAAAAATCTTTACGAAATTTTTAAAAACATTAGAAGTTTGCCCCGAATTCTGTAACGATTTTTTCGCAAATACGATTTTATTTATAGAAAGTTCTGAAAAAATTCTTCACGTCGCATAATGGTCGCAGAGGCTATGTTTCCCGCGAAAAAGTTATATTTGGAAATTGTGATAAATTAGTCGGAATAAATCCATTCATAATCGTAAATGTCCAACGAACTCAAAACTAATTAGTATTTTCATACGTTATACGTTTTAGCTGTTATGTGTTGCGAATTTTCCTAACATTTTAAAACGTTAAAAATTAGCATAATTTTTTCAATATCTAGCATAATAAAACTTATAAGATGTGTTTTATCAAATCTGAAGTCAATTTAGAATTTAAAAACTTGGTGGATTTTCAGGAAACTTGGTAGTTCGAGCTTGTTAGGTTCGCTCTTTACAAATTTTAAATTATTATTTTTTAATTCAAACTGAAAAATATGGCGTCAATATGGGAATTTTCTCATCCTTATCCTTACTAATATTATAAATCCGAAAGTGAGTTTGTTTGTTTGCTTTGCTTTCACGCCTTAACCACTCAACCGATCATCATGAAATTTTGTACACTGCTGTCATTTAGCCCAACTTAAAATATAGGATAAATTTAATCTCGATTAGACAAGGGGGCGTGGCACCTCCCATACAAACGGAATTTTTCGTACAGCATTTCTCAGGAAATATTTTTGATAAATTACTGGAACTTGATACGAAGATATATAAAATCATTATCCACTCATGCATGAGGGCTGAATATATTTTTAAAAGGGTTGCCACCTGTTTGAAAAGTCAAATTTAAATTGGTTATGCGCAACCTATCTGAAGAATTAAAATGGGTTTGTCTAACGAAATATTGTTAAAAATCCTTTGGTTTGAGAGTTTTGAATAATATTTAAGTCTTTCACAAGGGTTGCCACATTTTTAAAAACTAAATTCAATTATTTTAATTTAAATATTACAGTATAAGGCGCGCAATGGCTCTGGTGGTTGATTTATCGCTGGTGACTTGAAATTTACCACTGTACAACTCAACCCTGGTGTCTCAGAATGAAGCTTTAACGCATAATAATACTGGCATATCACGTCCATTGGGCCAATCGTAACACATAAGAGTTCGATATACTCAATGGCGCAACAGGTCGATTTAATTTGACATTCATGGCACATTTTCTAACTTGGCGTTTATTCGTAATGACTCCAGCGCTATCTGGCAGCCCTTTTTGGCAATAGTGTTGCCTTTACCGTTACTAATAAATATTTTGAAGTGGATAATAAATAAAATTTTTAGTAATAACTTCACAATTTATATTTTTAAACGAAATTCCTAATTTGTGGCAGTGAAAATATGCGAAATCAAGTGCACATAATATCGCGCAAAACGCGATAAATGTATTAAAACTTTTTAATGAATACTTTCAGGTTGGATGGATGCTTTGAAAAGCAGTGGAATTACATAAAAGTTTGAGCGATATGGTGTGATGGAGGAGGATGCTTGTCTCTTGTATATTAATATATGGAAGATTTTTTATAGTAAACATTTTATTTACAAAAATTTACATTAAATTTGCAGCAGTTTTAAACTTAGGCCTCTAGTAGTCGCAACCCATTAAACATCTCCGATTAGCTTAAAATTTTATAGTTAGTAGTTTTTTGGATCGCCCAACATTTATAAATGATATCTTACAAAGTTTAATACACTCTTTTTATTTTAATACAAATTAGGGCCACCTTAATACACGCGTAAATAATGCATACGTACATATATACATATTTATATGCTTTTACTATACATACATATGTATGTACATATGAAGATAAGTGCATATTAGTATAAAAAAGTTATAATTTACTCAACTCCCGACGTATGAAAGACAAGTGCCGTGATTCTTATAAAACATAAAAAAACAACACACACTACACAACGACAAAACGTTGGAAGCTGGAAGCTGTGTACGCAAAAAATAGTGATAAAAATCTATACTAAGTGACTAAAGGCTCTGTTATGCATACTTGGCATTGCATGCACTGCTATACCATTTTTACGTAGAAATCAAAAACCAACAGACTTTTACGTATGTAATGCTGTGCGTTGGGTAACCGCTTACACGCGAAGCTCATTTAACAGATTCCTTATGTGACAACTCTCAAGCAATGCCAAGTATGCATAACAGAGCCTTAACAGCCATCCAAACGTCCGTCACTTTGTCTAATGGAGGTTTCATAGATTTTGATGTTATCCAAGCTGATAGTGATGGATTATTGGCGATGCTGATGATGTGGCGGTTGATAGCCCACATAAAGTACGAGTAATATTTATGTTGATGTACTCCATGAATATTGTGAATAAAATTATTTGTCTTTGAACTGGTCAAAAGAATATAAAAGGGAAAAAAATAAAAGTAAAAAAAATAAATATTAATATCCGGTATAATCATGTCGCTAATGTCGCCGTTAATGATATTGACGACAGCAGAGTCTAGCTCTGTTGCCGTAGCTCTGCGTAGATGCGCGATATTAACGGTACCAACGAAAAGCAGCGTGATTAATCGTTAAACGACGCGGAAGCGCTTTGTCTGGTAATTGTTGTCACGTGACAGAATAACATTTAAAACGGCTAGCAGTGGGGCGGGCGTCTGCTTGCAGCTACAACGCCAAAAAAAGAAAAACTTCAAGTGCAAGCGCATTTAATTACATTGAAGAGGACTCACGTAAACGTCACTTTGCCAAAAAAAAAAAAAACAGAAAATGCCAACGTCTGAAGGAAAAACAAAGATGAAAGTTTAATACAAAATACACATACTAAACGTAAAAGCGTGCATAAAAAGGATTTTCATTTAGCATCAAATATACACAGATAGATGACACAAGTTGCTGCCCGCAACAACGCTACGCCGAAATAAATTCTGCTTTCTGCACGCTTAAAGTATGGTTTATGGACGCAGCATCGCTATCGGTGGCTGCCTGCTGCTTTCGGTCATTACACTCTCGGCAATAATATTCTATTTGAGTTTGGGTGAGTACTTAACACTGTGACTTTTAATTTATGAGTTGAAAATTTAGTGTTGAAAATAATTTGAAACACCATTATGACGATAAATATCAAGTGAGATTTATTTTAATGGTACAATAAAAGGTGATATATGTATTTTGTTAACTAGACCTCAAATTTTCTTACTGATTTAATTTATATTAAATGTTTTTTTTTTCTTTTATGGAATTTGATGAATAGGATATCCGACTAGCTGTAATATGATTCCTCCAAATTAGATTGCAGGCTCTGACTAAAGCAATTACATAAATCAAGGCTACAATTAAACTCAACTAGCTCGCTGGGTACAATATATCTCTTCGGATAGATATGGCACTGCGCCGCCGGAGCATACAAATATGCAACTTGATTCATTTACTCAGCAGCTCTCATGTTACTCATACGTCATGGTGTACCTAGTTACATAGCTATGGGGATAATCTCTAGTTCTGAACTGGTGCTCTTCTAGTAAATTTAGACCCAGTAATGGTTTGCGATAAATCTCTTTTGCATGCAAGCAGCTGGCGAATTTAACATGGCGATGTTCTAGGAAGTGTCGTTTGCCCCCCACAGCATCCTTTTTCGGTAGTTCCGAACTAGTCCAGTTCTAAAATCGGCAGACGAAATAAAAAAATATGATGATTTTTCAATCTTTTCGGTTCTTCCGTTATTTTCAAAGAAATGTGTTTTCAATTTGAAATTAAATTTGTTTGAATGATTGTAAGAATGTACGTTTACATTAGTTTGGCTGTAGCTGAGTTTGCAGAGGTGCTTGCTGTTATTGGTTAGATTCTAGATAATCTCAAGATGTTAAAATGTTAACAAAATTTTTTCTTTTGTATTGTGAAGCTATGAAAAAGCATCTGGGAAGTGCAGAATGGACTATGTAAAGTAAACAAGCGCCCCGCTGCATCTTTTTTCGATGGTCCCGAACTATGTTGTTATAAATTCGACAGATAAGATCTGGTTCGTTTTGCAGCTCATTTTCTATAGTTGCGAACCAGTTCTAAATTCATCATATAGATTTCTAATAGAAAATTTTGAAATAAAATAGTTTTTTTTTTAAAGTACCACATTTCGCAGATTTCGGACTGCTGGGGATCTAGTTACTATCGGATTGTTTCGTTTTTGGCGAAAAGATCTAGTACAGAACTAGAAATTTGATTCACTAGTTCGCGGTTTACCTGCAGGGTTGTTAACTAAGCAGTCGGTTTCTTAAATTTGGTGGTAAATTTTTATGATTTATGTACAATTTTTTACTTCCATTACTAGCTTCTATATATATATATTACTTAATAATTACCCCGTTGCTATAAAAGAACTTTCAAGACCATAAATAGGTTGATATTTGTTGAGGTATTTTTGTGACCAGGATTTTGTCGAAAGGGTTCGCATAAGCTAATGAATTGGACTCAAATTATTTAACAAGTGAAGTAATTAACAAAAAAAAAAAAATATTAAAACCTAACAAATTGTTGCGGAACAAGCATATCTATATATATATATATATCAAGCGAACATATTTTTTGTACAGGACATTAACTTTGCAACGTTCGCCCGATTTTCAAATTAAAGCGCTTGGCCTGTAGAAGTGCTAACTCGCTATATGGAAAAGAGTTTTATTGAAAAGAGTTGCCACTTTTGAACAATTAAATTCCAATTATTTAATAATCAATGCCATTATAACGGCACCGCTCGCTCCATTTTCATATTAAAAGGCTTGGACTGCAAATGCGCAAAAAGCTTTTACTTTTTGAAATGGTTTTGAAAAGCTTTGTTTCTTCACATAACTAAAAGAGAGTTGCCACCTATTAGAATTAAGAGAATTGAGTGAGAGAAATCTGAATCAAGATATGGATGCCAAACAAAAGGGATTTCAGAAGGTAGTATGTATGTAGTTTGAAAATATTTTGAAGAGGGTTACCATCTGCTTAAAATTTCGAATTTAGTAGTTAACTTATACATAACTGATATGAAATATCACAATATGGATGTCAAACGAAAGAGTGTCCTTAGTTTGAACACTAAGAATATTTTTGAGATGTTGCCACCCTTTTAATAAGTTAAATTCAACTTATTTAAAAAGTTAATCGAATTGTTAAAATATAGGTATCAATCGAAGCGGGTTTGAAAACTCTTTATATCCGAACTAAATTGAGCGTGGTTGCCACATGTTAAAAAAAAGCAAATTAAACTTAATTAATCAGTTAATTAAAATATGTATCGCAATATCAGGCGAAGGGGAGTTAACAAGTTTTTAGCTAGAAAATACTTTTGAGAAGGGTTGCCACCTGTTTTTTTATCAGAAAAAAAAATCTTTGTCTTGTAGTTTTTAAATTATAGGCGTTCAAAAAAAAAAAACAACAAAAAAATCTACACCCTGTGATGGTTTTTTAATTGTCGTTACTACAAATTTCTACTTTTTCACAATTTTATTTCTATTATGTAATTCCGAGTAATGCTTCTGTAAATTGTCGTTTAAAATTTGTAGCCAACTGCTCTAGCTTGGAAGAAAATGATACTTTTTCTCAAAAATTTTGAAATTTAATGCTTCGCCCAATCAGATTTTTAAATTTTTTTCTTACTTAAAACAACTTAACTTTACTAAATTCTAGTTTGAGTGAGACGGAGAGAGTCCTTTTACGATGTGTGAGCGAGACAGAGAGTAACGCCACTTTTAATAATGTGTGAGACGGATGGATACCATGCGACTAGTGTCTCATTTCTTATAATGTCACACTTTTGTAAGGCAAAAATGGCCCCTTCTCTGCCCTTTGCAGCTTTATCAATGGAGATGGTTGCCCTATGCGTGAGCTAGACAAGGATAAGAAAGCAATAACAAGCCCTTTGACAGGGTTGAGTGTAAGTAACATCGAACACAGTTTGTATGGTGGAAGGGCAACATTTTTTGGAAGAAACGAAATCACTATTAGAATTGGTTTGAGCATACAGTTTTATAGCCCATTCAATTTTGGTGTAATAATGTGCAGGTTGTAACTGGCTAAAAACACTGGATCACAAATTTTAATTTGGTTTTTGTTCTCCAGACGCCCCTATCCAAATTTCTATGTAGAATTGCTCGGTGATTCCGAAATTCGGGTTAATTTTTTTGTATGGATACGTTTTCGAGATATTTATTTGCAATTTACCGTTATTCAGCTTAAAGCAAAAATTGGTTCCTTTTAATCACGTATATCTTAGGAACCAATTTAAGAATCTTCATATAAATGCGGTCAACTCAAAATGCGCAAAGATTTTTTGTATGAAAAATGAGCAGGAAAGAAAGTTCTTCATACGCCACGTACACCCGAGTAACACGCTTCACTGCTCATATTTCATACAAAAAATCTTTGCGGATTTTTTATTTGACCACTCATTATTTCTTATTTATCCATTGATTTTCTTCAATAATTAATTAGATTTTTAGAATTTCTTTGCTAAAGGTGTTGCGGTTTTCTTCCATATAAAAATAAGTTTTGTTATCAAATTGGTCCAAAACGTTTAAAATTGATACACAATTTTAATTTTACTGCAGAAATAGAAGCAACTTTGTATAGAGCATGAGGCAGTCTATTAAATATAATAGTAGACAATTTTGTACATACATTAAAATTTATTTATGCTTCTCACCTACAGCCGCTATATAGTATACATACTCATTGGCCTTTAAGTTCTTCCATTTTCAATTACTCTAACTTATGGCAAAAGCGTAATAACTCAACCAATAAACATAAATAACCAATAAAAGTCACCAATAACTGCTTAAAAATAAAATTTATGTGTATCACTAGTATTTTCCACAGCTTATACATTCAAACCGTTAATGTTTGTTTCTTCCTCGCATTTATACCATCCATTTCAGTAAGCTTAGTACATTTTTATCAATTCTCCCACGCACTTTGCTGACACTTGAAAGCATCGAAAGCGCATAAATATGCTTTTAAATTATTGTATGTATTTATATAAATTTCAAATGCTAAATAGACAATTTTTATTACACTATTCGCGCATAATTTTTGCCGATATCATTGCTGCTGCCTGCTTATTATCAATTTTATCACCTAAATTAGTGCGTGGAAAAAGAAAATTGAATTTCGTTTGCCCAACTGCCTAACTGACAATTCGATTCGTAGCTATTGCATATCAATTGCAACCATTAACCATTAACCATTGACCACTGTGACCATTGTCAACTGTCTACTTAGCCGTTTTGCTATTTATATTGCTTCTGTAGTAGTTGTATTGTGAGTGCGCCGCATTGGCCTTTGACACCCAACACTGACCAAGCTGAACTTGTCTATTTGTCAATTGCTTTTATTTTCGCCCATGCTTTTTTATTCACTTTTCTCATTCTCTATTTTTGTGACGATTTTTATTTGTTTTTTTTTTTGTGTTTGAGTCATCTTCCAGTTACGGCGTGAAAAAGTTGCCGTGTGCGTGTATATCTGTGTGTGTAGTATGTCTTTTGCTCCCCTGAGCCGTGCGTTCAAATTAACCTATTTATGGCAATATGCTATTCGCATTCAGGCACACGTTTGCGTTAATGCCCGTTTTCGATTTGTTCACGACCCCATGTCACTCATACTTTATACAGTTTTCTTGACTTTCTTCATTCCGTTTGTGGCAAATTAAGTATAAATAAATATGTATAAATAAATGAATGTCTTTTCACGCGTATTGCTTTCTTGGCTTTCGACTGACAAACGTACGCACACAAAAAACAGAAATGGATAATTGTTAATGTATGTACATATGTATGTATGTATGTGTGTATGCGTTGTCCTATGCAGTTGCTTTGGGATGCTGCCTGCCATAACCACTTAACAAAGTTACAAGTATTAATTGCTTCTTTGTTATTTTTATAGCAATTTTTTCGCCTCTTATAAAAATGCGTTTATTTGTTCTTTTCGACTCGTGTAGAATACTCGTACATACATACACGCATACATTTTTTTGCCTCGTTGCTGGCTTTGTGCAAACGCAAA